AGCTGAGCCAAGAGCACTTGCACTGAGCCCTTCTCCTGCGCTGCTGCTGTTGCCTAGCAGTCTGCAGCATGTGTTTGCTTCGGTTTGGGGGAAATGGCTTAGTGGTCAACATTAATGAGCAGTGGTAATGCATTTTCAGATGTGGGAACTGGTATGTTGTCGGTCCCTTAGAGGGACGCCCTCCTGAAAGCTGTCGCAGAACAGCAGGGCCCATGGCTACTGTCGTGTGCTTGACACACTCCTCCCATGGCAACTAAAGAAAGTACCCAGATATACATCCAGTTCTTGGGACTCTAGAGGAGGACGAGTACTTTGTAAAAGGCTGGGGGCTCAAGTTATTCTAGATCTGACACTCAGGTGCTGTGTCAGCTGCACTTTGAACCACTTGGCACCACTGTGTGGACTTTAGTTTTATAAAAATGAATGGTTTCTTAATTTCTCAACCTTCAGGCTCGACATCTCAAGCTATTTTTTTTTTTTTCTTGATTAGTGGTCGACTCCACATTTGATGTTTTGACATGTGGATTTCAAAACTTTTATGTGGTAAAGCAGAATGTTTCAGTTGAATTTCCCATTTTTTTTCCCTAAGCAAAAAATGTCAGTTTTCACATATGCTGCCATTGTGATTCCAACTGAGGCCATAAGTGGTACTTGTTGTGTCTCTCAAGTGGTTTCGGACACCTCACTGTGAAGCTGTGGTAGACATCCATAAGAAATAGCTTGTTGAGGGATTATGTGAGGGCAAGGTTTGGCTGAAGGAGAATAGAAGGTGTGGAAGGAAGCGAAGAGCATCACACTGCCTCCAAATCTCAAATTTGATTCTACTCCTGATCCTGTGACTCAAATTGTCATTCTCCTTTACTGCTGCAGGGTGTGCTCTGGGCCTGGCTGATAGGACGTTCTTTGTACCCCACACATTTATGCTGGTGGCAGTTGGATGGCTAGTGCTTTGTGCTTTGTCTCAGAAATTGTGTGGACTAAATGTAATATGGGCAGTGAATGGGTTTTTCTGGAAGATGTTAGGCTTGGAGGGTGGTTTGGGTCTTTCTTTCTCTTTCTTTCTTTCTTTTCTTTCTTTCTTTTTCTTTCTTTCTTCTTTTCTTTCTTTCCTTTTTTTTTTTTAGACGGAGTTACGCTCTTGTTGCCCAGGCTGGAGTGCAATGGTGCGATCTTGGCTCACTGCAGCCTCCGCCTTCTGGGTTCAAGCAATTATCCTGCCTCAGCCTCCCAAGTAGCTGGAATTTCAGGCATGTACCACCACACCCAGCTAATTTTGTATTTTTAGTAGAGATGGGGTTTTATCGTGTTGATCAGGCTGGTCTTGAACTCCTGATCTCAGGTGATCTGCCCACCTCTGCCTCCCAAAATGCTGGGATTACAGGCATGAGCCATTGTGCCTGACTGGTTTGAGTTTTTAAGAGTCTTTTTCTCAGGTTACAAATGGATTTCTTTTTTTTTTTTTGAGGCAGAGTCTCACTCTGTCACCCAGGCCGGAGTGCAATGGCATTGCACCGGCTCACCGCAGCCTCCACCTCCCGGGTTCAAGCGATTCCCCTGTCTCAACCTCCCGAGTAGCTGGGACCACAGGCGTGTTCTACCACGCCCAGCTAATTTTTTGTATTTTAGTAGAGATGTCATTTCACCATGTTGGCCAGGATAGTCTCGATCTCCTGACCTTGTGATCCACCTGCCTTGGCCTCCCAAAGTGCTGGGATTATAGGCGTCAGTCACCGCGCCCAGCCAGGAATGGATTTTATAAAACAGGCAGAGGTGACACCATAGTTTCTCCTAAGAAATGTACAGAGAGTTCAACCTGAGGAAGCTAATTGAAAGTAAACTTTAAAAAACAAATATAGAACTAGATAAATAAATGGTGGTGGCAACAACAACAAATAGAGGAGATTTTAAAAAATATCTTATTGCTTATGAATGGGAAATATGTAGCCATTTTAGCTTCAAATAACTTTTGAGGGAATTCTCAAAGGACAGTACCTGGCTTTAGTAGATAAATGCTTGATATCTTTTTTTCTTCTTTTGCTTTTTAAAGAATTACAAAAATAGTATATGGATTTATAGAAAAATCAAACCACTTAAAAATTTATCAAGTGGCTGGGTAAAGTGGCTCACACCTGTAATCCCAGCACCTTGCCGAGGTGGGTGGATCACCTGAGGTCAGGAGTTTGAGACCAGCCTGGCTAATATGGTGAAACCCTGTCTCTACTAAAAATACAAAAATTAGTTGGCTGTGGTGGCTTGCGCCTGTAGTCCCAGCTACTTGGAAGGCTGAGGCAGGAGAATCGCTTGAACCTGGGAGGCGGAGGTTGCAGTGAGCCAAGATCATGCCACTGCACCTCCGCCTCCCGGGTTCAGGCAATTCTCCTGCCTCAGCCTCCTGAGTCGCTGGGATTACAGGCACGTGCCACCATGCCCAGCTAATTTTTTGTATTTTTAGTAGAGACGGGGTTTCACCATGTTGACCAGGATGGTCTCGATCTCTTGACCTCGTGATCCACCCACCTCGGCCTCCCACAGTGCTGGGATTACAGGCTTGAGCCACCGCGCCCGGCCTAATTTTTGTATTTTTAGTAGAGACAGGGTTTCACCGTGTTGGCCACGCTGGTCTTGAACTCCTGACCTCAGGTGATCTGCCCGCCTCGGCCTCCCAAAGTGCTGGGATTGCGGGTGGGAGCCAACTTCAGGATGGTGTTATATATGCATATTCTGCATTTATCCATCTCATATATTCATCTCTGCCTCATTTCTTTTAAATAGCAGTGTAGTCCAGGGCTGATTTACCATCGTGCATTTCATTATCTCTCTATTGGATTTCCTAGTGGTTTGTTATTAAAAATACTACAGGATTGAAATTCCTCATGTACCAGTCTTTTTGAAGAATGGCTACCTAGACTTGGAATTTCTGGTGGGTACCACCACATCACTGTCCAAAATGGCTATCCCAGTTCCCACAATATTCTGAGAAAGTGCCATTGTCCCATACCCTCCCAGAATTGGAGTATACATCTTTTAAATTGGTGCTGCTGGGATTATTACTAAGGCTAAACCTCAGTAATCATTGTCACAACTCCTAATGTATTAAAGGTATTAACTGTTTGTCATGCAGATATTTTCCTATTTTGTCAAATGTCTTGGTTCTTGTCTTTCTGATACAGAAAATTTCTGTTATGATTTCTTTGTTTATACACTTAGGAAATCCTTTCCTACTCTTAACAGATCAATAGTCACCCATATTTTCTTCCTAAAATATCTGATGATGTATTATAATTATACACACATATTTAATACATATAAAAGGGTCAGATGCGGTGGTTCATGCCTGGAATCTCAGCACTTTGGGAGGCTTAGGTGGGTGGATCGCCTGAGGTCAGAAGTTTGAGACCAGCCTGGCCAACATAGTGAAGACCCGTCTTTAATAAAAATACAAAAATTAGCCAGGCGTGGTGGTGGGCACCTGTAATCTCAGCTGCTGGGGAGGCTGAGGCAGGGGAATCGCTTGAACCCAGGAGGTGGAGGTTGTAGTAAGCCAAGATCGCACCACTGCACTTTCGCCTGGGCTACAGAGTGAGACTCTGTATTTAAAAAAAAAAAAAAAAGAATTTTATAGGTAAGTTGTCCTGTGTTTTTCCTATGATTAAAAAAAAATACCTGTTTTGTATTTAACTTTGGGGTGGGATGAGGTTTAGAACCCACTTAGACAGTTGTGTCTAAGACACTTGGTGAACCAGTCAATCCAGTCTTCACCTTTAACAAATGCCGAGTTCTTCAAGTGAGCAAAATCTCTCTTAAACTTTTTCCTATTTTCTCTATAAAGTTGTTTTTTTCTGAATTTTTTCTTTGTAAGGCTTGATGGCTGGCCTGTTAGCAGACAGTTGTTCATTTACCCAACAAATATTTGAGCATCTGCTTCAAGCCAGGACAGTGCTGAGCCCTAGAAGTGGTACCTTCTCCTTGTCTGGGTGTGGGGCTACAGTGCTCATTCCAGAAGACTTAAGAAAATAGCAGATCGTCATAAAAGTAGGTTTTAGATAAACGAGGAGGAATCCAGAGGATTATGTATATGTGTTTTAAATCTGACATAAGTTGGAACTTTAGGGTAGACTGTGACATAGCATAATTTGTTTTCCAACTCATGTCATTGTGGGCTGATTTTTGTCTTGAATTATGATAATGGTAACTTTTTTCTGTTGAAACTATTTTATATTCATCTAGCTTGGTTGGGATGCAATAAAAGTTTTATACTGGTAAAAATGATAATTTTCTTCTATGATGATTTTGAAACTTTTCTGTAACAGCTGATAAAAATAAAGACAGAGGCTGGGTGTGGTGGCTAGTGCCTGTAGTCCCAGCTACTCGGAGGGTGAGGTGGGAGCATCACATGAACCCAGGAGTTTTAGGCTACAGTGAGCCATCATCACACCACTGCACTCTAGCCTGGGCAGCCTTGTTCTTTAGAGTGAGACCCTGTCTCTTTAAAAGAAAAAGAAAAAAGCCTTTTTTTTAGTAAACGTATTTTTAGGGTAGCAAGTGTAATTTTTATAAATTACATTATTTAAATCTAATAAATATCCTCAAAACAAGCAGGATTCTGATTTGGATTGAAAATATTTTTTACTTAAAGGAAGAGGGATAGAATAAATTACATTATTAAGGAAGCAGCTTCTTGTATAAGGCTGGGGGTTTTAAATGATTTTTTGAATAGTTAGATAGACAATACAGAATTTAAAAGGTGGTATAAAAAGTTATATGGGGCTGGGTGCAGTGACTTTTGCCTGTAATCCCAGCACTTTGGGAGGCCAAGGCGGGGGGATCACTTGAGGTCAGGAGTTTGAGACTGGCCAAAGTGGCGAAACCTCATCTTTACTAAAAATACAAAAATTAGCCAGGCATGGTGGCACATGCCTGTAATTCCAGCTACTTACTTGGGTGGCTGAGGCAGGAGAATCACTTGAACCCGGGAGGCGGAGGATGCCGTGAACCAAGATCATGCCATTGCTCTCCAGCCTGGACGACAAGAGTGAAACTCGGTCTCAAAAAAAAAAAAAAAAAAAAAGTTATATGGTAAAGTCTCTCTGTTACCCTGTCCCCAAACATTCATTTCTTTCCCTGGAGGCAGCCACTATTACCAGTTTCTTAAAAAAAAAAAAAAAAAAAAAAAGCGTGAAGTGGCTCTGTTACGTTGGAGGGCTGGAGTTGTCTGGAGTTCCACGGCGTGGTGGGCTAGAGGCCACCTCTCCTGTGGCCTCTTAGTGTCTCCAGGGCGGGGTTTGGCCCAAGCTGGATAGAGACAGCCCTTTGCGGATTTAAACAACCTAAACATTAAGCAATACAGCTGCCTCAAATCTTTGGGAATTTCAGAATGACTGACACTGCCGAAGCTGTTCCAAACTTTGAAGAGATGTTTGCTAGTAGATTCACAGAAGATGACAAGGAATATCAGGAATACCTAAAACGCCCTCCTGAGTCCCCTCCAATTGTTGAGGAATGGAATAGCAGAGCTGGTGGGAACCAAAGAAACAGAGGCAACCGATTGCAAGATAACAGACAGTTCAGAGGCAGGGACAGCAGATGGGGGTGACCAAGTGACAATCGATCCAATCAGTGTCATGGACGATCCTGGAGTAATAATTACCCGAAACACAGACAAGAACCTTACTATCCCCACCAATATGGACATTATGGCTACAATCAGCAGCTTCCTTACGGTTACTACTGATAGAAATGTTGGCAGCTTTTAGTAAAAGCATTTACTCTGTTACCATGACAAAAGTTTGGGTGTCATCTGTTGGTCATAGTTTTACATCTGATTTTAGAGAATGGATTATTTTTTGGAAGTTGAGACTTAAAAAAAAAATAGATCTTACTTGCGAGATAACGATGGTTGCTGGTAATACCTGAAATTGTGGATAATATTGCTTGACTTCTACCTCAGAGTCTTCCTTGTTTCACGACGTAATAGTGCTTTGAGTTTGGTATGTTTTCTTATTTGACCTCTAGGAGATCTTTGTTTTACACAGAAATAAAATTTTAAAATAGAAAATGCTGGCTTTTACTTTGTAAGGTAAGAGAGTATCCATATACTTAGATGTGCTCGTTTCTAAAATTTTAGAAGTTAATACAATTAGCTCATGAATGCACAGCTATGCTTCTTGTGAAAGATTATATATAACATCAGCAGTTGAAAGATAAAACAATTGCTTTTTTTTTTTTTCTTATGTGACTATGGTACTTTGTGATTCCTTATTCTATAGATAATGAGGTCAGCTCCACATTTATTTGGGTCTCTTTAGAGGGAAATCAGTAATAAAGCTGTAAAATAAGGAAGGAATCATTGTCAGTTTGTGTCTTGATCTGGTGGTGGTTGGGATTAGGGTAACACCATTGTATATACCCACTAAGGCTTTTCGCTAACAACATAGCAAGTCATAATTCACACATAGAAAAATTTAACTCTGTGATGTTCAGACTTTCCTTTTTTTTTTTTTTTTTTTTTTTTGAGCCAGAGTTTCGCTCTTGTTACCCAGGCTGGAGTGCAATGGCGCAATCTCGGCTCACCGCAACCTCCGCCTCCTGGGTTCAGGCAATTCTCCTGCCTCAGCCTCCTGAGTCGCTGGGATTACAGGCACGCGCCACCATGCCCAGCTAATTTTTTGTATTTTTAGTAGAGACGGGGTTTCACCATGTTGACCAAGATGGTCTCGATCTCTTGACCTCGTGATCCACCCGCCTCGGCCTCCCAAAGTGCTGGGATTACAGGCGTGAGCCACCGTGCCCAGCCAGACTTTCCTTTTTAATCCTGTAAATAATGCTGCAGTTTGATTGTTTTCACTTTTATGGTATTTAATGTGGGCTGATTTTACAATGTTATATTCACTTCCAGATGCATACCTCTGCTGCTTTCTCTTCTATAAGTAGTGATGCTATAAACTTTGTTTCACAGAGATCATTCTATTTCAAATCATTTTAATGGTTATTACAACAATGGTTTCATTCAAATAAAATTTTTAAAAATGTGTATGTGTGCACACGTGTGTGTGTAAATTTTTATGATAAATATATATAACAATTTACAATTTTAATCGTTTGACTATACAGCTCAGTGGCACTGAGTACAGTCATGTTGTTGTAAAACCACCAACATCCATCTCTACAACCTTTCGTCTTGCAAAACTGAAATTCCATACCCGTTAAACACTAACTCCCAATTCTCCCCTTCTCCCCCACCCCACCGCAACTACTGTTCTACTTTTTGTCTCTATTGGACATATTTTTGTGTGTTTGGGTTTGTATATGTATTTTACATGCGTGTATACATACACAAGGGTATGTGGGGGTTGTGTTTTTATACACACTATAAAATATTGTGCACATTTGTTTGTTTTAGTTAACACATCCTAGAGATTATTTGGAATCATTTCATAGAGAGCCATATGATTCTTTTTAAGAGTTGGGTTTAAATAGTCTATTATGGATGTACTATAATTTATGTAACCAGTTTTTAAATTTTTTATTTATTGTTTTTAATATTTTTTAGAGATGGGATCTCACTCCATTACCCAGGCTGGAGTGCAGCAGCGTGATCATAGCTCACTGCAGCCTTGAACTCTGGGGCTCATGTGATCCTCCCACCTCAGGCTCCCTTGTAGCTGGGACTACAGGCATGTGCCACCGTGCCTGGCTAAATTTTTTATTTTTATTTTTGGTAGACATGGGATCTCACTTTGTTAACCAGGCTGGTCTTGAACTCCTGGGCTTGAATAATCCTCCTGCCTTGGCCTCTCAAAGTGCTGGAATTACAACCGTGAGCCATGCAGCCTAATAAGAGTGGCCTTTGAATTGCAGACTTAAAGAAAAAATTGTGTATGAGTAGATAAGCATACAGATTTATGACTGCAATACTATTTGTAGAGATCAGAGAGCTGTTAGGCTAGGAAGACGTTTTTAGCAGTTAGAACTAGAAAGCAAGACTTTGGAAACTTCCATTTATTCAAAAGAGACCTCATCTGAGCAGAGCATGTGAGGCAGGACCTTTTTACTTGACAGGAGGAACTTCAGCCAATTCTGGTTTGTGAATCTTGAAGAAAGTAGAACATTGTTATTTTCGGAGCATTCTAGGTTGTGTTAGCTCCTTTGTACTTGGGATTGGAGAGTCTCCCTCTGCTACTGGACCTTCTGCCTCTTTTGTGCTGTAATATGCGTAAGAGGTATCCTGGAAGTATTCAGGACCAGGTTGCGGTTGTTTCCTTGTTTTGGGACTGTTGAACCCTTTACATATATAGCAGCACTTTATTTAAGCTGTGCTAATGGAGCGTCTATTACGTGTCAGTTACTGTGCTAGCTGCTGGAAACTATCCTACCCTCAGCAGTCTTCTGGTCTAAGGGGAGGTCAGCTATGGTACAAAGTGCACTGCTTAGTTCTACTGATTTTTTTATTTTTATTTTTACATAAGACTTTGATGGTGAAAGAAACAGTATGTGAGCAAGCTCACTCCTGTCTTATCATCTTATCAAGTACCAGGTCTACTCTTATGAACCCCTGTGGACAGCACTGCTGTACCTCCCCAAGCCTGGGCTCAGGAGGTGGGACTTAAGCCCTGTTCCAGGCTCCTTCTCCATGCCGGCTGCTCTTCCACCATGCCTCGTGTCATTCTAAGGTCCTGTCTTCCCATAGTCTTCCCCTACCCTCCTCCTCCCCGGCCTCTACGCTCCGTTCAAGTAATAGCTACTTGGGTACTTTTCACCCAGACTTAGGAAATGTTAGCAGTTTGCCATATTCCTGTCAGCCCTCTTTTATGAAACTCAGGACAGATTCAGCTGAATCCCAGCCCTGTGGTTGCACTGTCTGTCTGCTCTGCTTCCCCAAGGTAGCCTGTCCCTTAAAGGTGACCGTGATATTCCCCATGCAAGGTTTTTGTTGTATTATAGATGACAACATGGAATAAAGTGTTTTGCAAATTTACTGGATGATATCCTACTATGGGAAACATCCTACAACTCTCTTTTCACTCAACACTTCACTTTTGAACCTGGTCCATGTTGCTCCATGCAGACCATGTTCGTTCATTTGGTATGTCTCCTTTTGCCATAGAAGTAGTTTTACAACAGAAGCCTGACCAGAGCCACGAGGGAGAAGGAGACTGTAGAGAAACAAGGATTGGCATCTGGTTTATGTTTATATCCTTTAGTCCTTTTAACCAAGAAGATGATGTTTTTATTTCCATGTTTGTGAGAGCTTTCCACAAAAAGAGGCATCCATTTTCTAGACTTATTAATAGGACAGTCCAAATGTTTTATTTTAGATTTGAAAGAAAGCAAATTAGGCTTCTGAGATATACACATTTCCCTTTGTCCTTGTCTCCTTTGCAACATTCCACGTTGCTGCTTAAACTTGAGCAGTTTCAAGCATGTGCGTACTTTCTATGTGTGAATCATTTTTTTAAACATTAGAGCATTTTTGGCTGGGCACGGTGGCTCACGCCTGTAATTCTAACACTTTGGAAGGCTGAGGTAGGTGGATCACTTGAGGTCAGGAGTTCAGGACCAGCCTGGCCAATATAGTGAAACCCCATCTCTACTAAAAATACAAAAATGGCCGGGCCTGGTGGCTCACGCCTGTAATCCCAACACTTTGGGAGGCTGAGGCAGGTGGATCACGAGGTCTGGAGTTCAGGACCAACTCCATCTGGAGTTCAGGCCTGGCCAACGTGGGGAAACCCTGTCTCTACTAAAAATACAAAAATAGCTGGGTGTGGTGACACACACCTGTAATCCCAGCAACTCGGGAGGCTGAGGGAGAACAGTCGCTTGAACCTGGGAGGTGGAGGTTGCAGTGAGCCGAGATTGTTTCACTGTCCTCAGCCTGGGTGACAGAGTGAGGCTCCGTCTAGAAACAAAACAAAAATTAACTGGGTATGGTGGTGCACTGCGCCTGTAATCCCTGCTACTCAGGAGGCTGAGGCAGGAGAATCACTTGAACCCCGGAGTCGGAGGTTGCAGTGAGCAGAGATCATGCCACTGCACTCCAGCCTTGGTGATAGAGCGAGACTCTGTCTCAAAAAAATTAAAATAAATTAAAGCCTTTTGGTAGTATGTAAGTTTTGACATTACTTTGATAAGTATTTTAAATTTTTCTACACATAATAACTTATTTTTAAAATACAAGTTTCTGTGTGCCTCTGGGTTTTGTGTTTTTGTAAACAGCAGAAGGTATTAGTCCATATTAAACAGTAATTTGTTCTAATATTTTCAGCTGTTTTTGAAATTACACTTGGCAAAAAAATAGACAAGTGTCTGCAGTTGTGACAGTTTGTCTTTTTGTTCTTTTTAACTCCAGACTAAATAATTCTAGTGAGTTTTTTTCTTGGCTCATAAAAACATGGGAATGATTAGAGTCATAACGCTTAAGTAGTTGGGGAAGGTTGAACGTCTGTCATCAATTGTATAAAATTTCCTGCTCATCCTTCCAGGTTTAAGACAAAACAAAAAAATACATGGTATTTATTAAGTTCTTATAAAATTTATTACAAAAGTAAAACATCATTGTAGAAAACTTTGAAAATACATATAGCTACAAAGATAAAAAATTAGGCCAGGCATGTGGTGGCTCACATATGTAATCCCAGCACTTCGGGAGGCAGAGGTGGGAGGATCTTTTGAGCCCAGGAGTTCAAGACCAGCCTAAGCAACATATTGAGACCCTATCTTTACAAAAATATTATAAAACAAAATAAAATCACTCTGGCGATTCCACTATCCAAAGAAAACTGCTGTTAATATTTGGTGTGTATCTTTCTAGACCAAGGCCTTCAACCTGGATTGAGAATTCAGGGCGAGGGTCTGTGACCTTGGATGGGAAAAACATTCAGTCTTTATTTTCACTAATCTCTCTGAAGATCCAGATTTTTAGCCAGGCATGGCGGCTTAACGCCTGTAATCCCAGCGCTTTGGAAGGCTGGGGCAGGCGGAGCAGTTGAGCGCAGGAGTTTGAGACCAGCCTGGGCAACATAGTGATACCCTGTCTCTTTTAAAAAAAAAAAAAATCCAGCTAAACATTGTGGCTCATGCCTATAATCCCAGCACTTTGGGAGGCTGAGGCTGGCGGATCACCTGAGGTCAGGAGTTCAACACCAGCCTGACCAACATGGTGAAAGCCTGTCTCTACTAAAAATACAAAAATTAGCTGGGCTTGGTGGCAGGTGCCTGAAATCCCACCTATACTGGGCTTGGTGGCAGGCACCTGAAATCCCATTGCACTCCATCCTGGGCGACAAGAGTGAGACGCTCTCTCAAAAAAAAAAAAAAAAATACAGATTTTCTTCAATGACAGTTGTAAGCAGCAGACCATGGTAGTATTAGGGGTATCAGTGACTGTCACAGTAGGGATCAAAGATG